AGTTTGCTTAAATAACCGTTTCAAAAATAATAACAATAAAAGAGGTCATGGTTTCTTCCTGCCGCTCCGTAAGGATAATTTCCGGCTACCGTGTTTTTATTGTTTGCATCTTCATCATCAAAACGCACGTGCTCTTCCCTGACATACATTCCCTTGACCATTTGACAATAGGAGGTAAACCTCAGCAAATAGAATGGTTTTGTTGTAGGGAGTTGTATTTCTCTTCTGAATGAGCCGTCTTTCCTACAATAAATGAAAAATGTGATGATAACGATCTCTGATTGATCTTATACATCCTGTAAACAATAAGGATCCTGAACAGGGCAAAATCTAAAAATACCAGACGTGAAATTAGGTGCGTAGGAAGAGTAAGCATTCATTGTCGACCGATCATGCCTGCCGTAGGCCCTCTGTGTTTAACAGATAATGAGTAGTTCGGTATTAAGTTAGGATCACAACAATGGCATGGCAGTCGGTAGGAAACAAGTCAGTCAAACTAGACCCAAACATATGTTCTATTTGCAAAGTAGGTCAAACTATGACCATAGAGTTTTCAAAATGCTGTGTTACAACGCGAAATGTAATAACAACGCAAAATGTAATAAACCGGGGTTATTGCATTTTGCGTCGATATTAATGCAGAATGTAATAACGCAAAATGTAAAAACAGACTTTTTAGAATAATTCATTTTCCGCTATAACATTTTGCGTCGAGATTAAAATGTGTTAACGCAAAAAGTAACAACATAATTTTTGGATTATTACATTTTGTATTGTTACATTTTGCGTCGAGATTAAGCAAAACGCAGCAATGCAAAATGTTACATAACAACTTTTGGTCAGTCAGATTGAGAATAAGTTTCGACTGAGTAGTGGAAGAAAATAAACAAAAAGAAAATAAACAATAGGAAAAATAAACATATGCTAAATCTTACATTAGATCTGTTTCAAAATCAGTCTATATTCAAATCTTAGGTGTTGCAAATTAGAAAACTGCGTGCACACGTGTGTTTGTGGATGGAGGGGAGGGGGGGGGGTAATTTCGTTGATCAGTGTATCAGTTTGCTTTTGCTTTTAAATAGGCAAGAAAATTAGAAAAGAAATCTATTTCATTTACTGGCAGGTGTAAATATATCTGGGAGGGTTTTCTTGTCAATTTAGATTTCATACTGTTTTACAAATCATGTGCATTGCAGACCTGCAAAAATAAAATTCTCTCTCTCTCTCTCAAATAATAAAAAAGATGCTTCCTGCATGTGCATAAAAATACAATGATACATATACGAAGTAACCCCATCCCCAGCTTCTCCTCGCTAGATACACAAACACATTTACACATACACTTCTAATTTACTTACCAATGTACACATGCACGTCGTACATGCATATCAAGAGCTTTAATTAATGGACCCATGGTCAATCTTTGGTAAATAATGATGTCAGTGATGGACATTTAATTCAGACTGATTTATAAATAGACATGTCAATCAAAGTTAACTTAATGTTTTAAAAGTATTCAATAAAAATGCTAGAAGCAGAGTTAGTAAAAATACACAGTTAGATTTAGTAATGTCCTGAAAGCCGTAACGTTTGGCTCATAGTTATGGGTGTGTCTGTCTATTTGGTAAAGCGAGTTTCCCATTGATATAGGTTTAAATCAATTATGTGATGTTTTATATTGAAAACAATACAAAAAAATTATTTTGTTTTATTAGATTTTGTTTTATTGCATTTTGCATTGTCCTCATCTCAAAAATTAATTAACGCAAAATGTAACAACCAAAAAATGCATCATTACATTTGGCGCAAAATGTTATAATGCAAAATGTAATAATCCAAAAATCGTGTTATTACATTTTGCGTTATTACATTCAGCATTGAAATTGACGCAAAATGTAAAAGGAAAAAAAATGAAAAAAATGGATAAAAATGCATTATTAATAGAATTTACTTTCTTCGGAAATACTAACTTCACAGATATCATTCACTGCACAAGCGTCTTTATATATATATATATATATATATATATATATATATATATATATATATATATATATATATATATATATATATATATATATATATATATATATACAGTACAGGCCACGAGTTTCCCCCGAAAAACACGGGGCCCCGTGGACCGAAAGTCCACGCTTTAGCGTGGACCTCGATCAATGTCGGCGTCTTTGAAGTTAGGGTGTCTGCGCACCGTGTAACACGGTGTGTACGCGCGGTGTATCGCAGTGCCCCATTACGATATCGCGCAGAACTTATAATAAAAACTTTTCATTTTTTTATTTAATCAATTATATCAATTTCCTTTAAAATCAGGTTTTTTCCCCCTTTTTTCAGTCTTAGATATTACTACTTCTTTACCGATATACAGATGTTTGAACAAATAAGATGCCATAAAATCTAAGATCCACGTGCTCTTGTCCAGTCCATCAAAATACAAACTCTTCAAAATGTGTACTTACATTCCTGTAAGTCGCGTTTCAAAAACCTAACTATACGAGAGAAAAAATATGTTCAATATCAGACTATCATTATACTACAAAGGAATACACTTTCGTAAATTAATTACCTTGTTGTCTTTTCTCTCGATTATAACTGTGTTCATTTAAATTACAGTCATTTTCGTAACAAGATCTCTTTTACCGTACGTATGCATCCATATGTGGTATTTATCAGATGCATGGTTTATTTTATAAATCATTTTCTACGTAAAAAGAATTTAAAAAAAAATATGCATCCAAATAAATAAAATCCAAAGACGTGTTAGATACACACACATGAACTCTGCTCTCTGATTATTACTTGGCGAATTATACTTTCGATTAAGGATTATTGCAATCTGTATAATCATGTAAAATATGGAGATAAATATCACACAAACACACAAAAAGCCGACTTTTGGTAACTCAAATCTGCTTTTCAACTACTTTACAAATATTACATTATTCTGAGATTACTTTATGAAAAATGTGTCGTACGGTTTGCGAAAAAAAAATCAGTTAGCGAATGTAGAGCGGGGATGTATAGAACAAAGTTTCTTATGGTCAAAGTATTATCATGGTGTTAAGGAAGAAAGAAAAAACAACTAGCCTCTTTCAAGCTACATGCATTATGTTTGCTATCCCCCCCCCCCCCCCCCCCCGTTCTCGAAAGCGATATGATTCAGCTAATTAAAAATTAATCGAAAGTCTGTGGATTTATATGTTGCGTTATTGTGAAACAAAACAGTCATAATCTAACATACATTACAGGTTTCATGTTTATATGTGTCTGAAAAAGGATAATTTAGAAGTAAGTCTAAAATCTTGACAAGTCAAAGTTCACGTGTGGTGGACTGGTGGTGTAACCTGGTAGATGAATTCGGCTGTAAGTCATGTCTTATACACATGATATGGTCAGGACGAAAGAATTTGAAAGGTGTGATAAACACACAGCGCCCCGGCCCTCCGGCTGTGTCCCAATATATTTTAAAGAAAGGTGTAAACTCGGAACTGACCATAAGAATGTTTCAAATCACAAGAGAATTACTTTCCGCGTAAACAAACTTTCAGGGACATCTAGCGTTGTACCTGTGAGATTTTGATTGACAGGTAGAGCACGGGGATTTCGTGTGTTACGGAGAACATTGAGCACATATTGTACATGTAACTATGATGAATATGAAACGAAGTTACGGAATTTAGATAGTATTATAGAATGGTTAATTGTGACTTTGGTAATATAAATAAAACGATGAATTAAATTTAGAAGAATCTCTCTCTCTCTCTCTCTCTCTGACATTGTTTCTTTGCACACTTTCATTTAAATAAAAACTTATTAAATATTTACACTGAAAGGATTTTAAATTTAAAAGCATAATAAATACTACTGTAGTTTATGAAAAGATAAAGACAATCGTCTGTTACGAGAAATACTCTTGGACATTATAAAACGTAATTTTTTTTTTTTTTTTTTTTTTTTTTTTTACAGATTTAAGCGAAAGGGTCTCTCCCTCTCTCTGACATTGTTTCTTTAAACACTTTTCAATTAAAGACAAATTTATTACATACTTACACTGAAAGGATTTTCAAAATACTAGTTTATGAAATTCTGTTACGAGAAATACGCACATTATTGTACACAGGGATGTTGTATTTTTGCTGTCGATTCTCGCTTATAAATTCAGAATAATATAAGATTAACAAAATAAATGTGCTCTACTCAGGAATATAAAATTAATGCTTTGATTGTATACTAAAACAACTGCAGCTCAGATCGTATAGTACATGTAATGCAGATCGATGGATCATGCTATTTAGTCTTTCTTCGTTGTATGAGCACATGGAATAAAATTCTTCAGACATTAAAAATTTCAATCCAAATTATAGTTTTAAAAAGTAACTAAATACATGTAACTTTACTAAATACGAACTTCTGGGCGCACGATAAATTCAAAACCATTTATTAAATTTTCTGCTACCGATATTTAATCCTACTACATGTGTCATTAGTACGATTCATAGCACAGTCAATGTCTTCTAGATTTTAAAACGATAATTATACATATAAATCAAAGTGATTAATTGTTTTTAAATTTTTAAGTTTTTATCAGAACCAAACGATTTATCTCTATAATTTTATGGACACGGTGCGACACGGAGGGAATTTTCTGGACACGGTGCGACACGGGGAGCATTAGCTGGGATTTTTCTAGACACGGTGCGGCACGGTGTGCCTACCTGTGTATTTCAAATCCACACACACTGTGCTACACCGTGTACACGGTGTAACACAGACCATTTCACACGGTGTGTTTTCCACCGTGCGACGGGGAAAACTCGTGGCCTGTACTGTATATATATATATATATATATATATATATATATATATATATATATATATATATATATATATATATATATATAAAATCTACAATTGAGTTTACATTTCTTGTCTAAAAAGGAGATAAATTTTAAGGTTTTTAAAAGTTTTTTTTAACCATATCAACAGTAGTTACAAGGGTCATTCGATAGAAACGTAGACAATGTCGTTCTTCGTGGTATTATTTTACAAGATTTATTGTCAACAAATTTTCAAGTGCATAACATTTATTTTGTTGTTGTCTGAAGTTTTATTCCATTTGATTAAATGGAACTCATGTTGCTTGATTTTAAATTTAACATGTTTTATCACCTCAGAGCACTCTTAACTACATTATACATGTAACGTCAAAAACAACGTCGTGAAAGGTACTCACAATTACGCTCCCCTCTGCAACGTCATTCCTCACACGGTTTGTAGCGCCTTATAAACTTATTTAAAAGGTCTCCATAATACTTGACGCATAGTTTGCTAAGAATTCTTCAAGTAGCATAACTTAGTTTGTCAGTTTTCAAACTCTTTACTGCGTAACTCTGCTTTTATGAGTTCCACAACAATGAAGCTGCATATCACTTTCCATGACGTTACTAAGTCTTTTGACCAGGGGGTCTTAACATATAGGGTACTTAAGTCTTAGACCATGTCTAAGTAGGACTTTAGTACAGTCTTAAACTTCAGACCATAACTAGAAGCGTGCTAAGATTTCACAATCTTAGCAAAGCTTAGGCGGTCAGTAGAGGTGAATGAAATATTTTTTAAGTTCTTTAAACACATATTATTTAGAACTATTTAAAGGTTGACTTTCGACGTCAAAGCATTCCTCTATTCATAGTATGCATTAAAGAAAATAATTTTCACTATTCAATACTGGTATAAGAATTTTATTTCGTCGGTGGAAGGGGGGGGGGCGTGATATTTAAAATATATTTATTCATTACAAATAAATTGGATTGAACAGAAGGCATAATGCCTATAATCGTTCTCTCCATAGGTCAAGGTACATATAACAATTATTGGTACATTTAACATTGAAAAGCAGTATATAAAATAGATATTTATCACTGATTCCAATTTCACTCTCTAAATGACATTCATGTAAATGCAAAATGTTATTTTGCAATACGATTGAATATTAGTGGGAACTAGGTTATAAACACTAAGCATTATAAGTAAATTGTACACAATAATCATGGATTTTTATATTCACTGTAAATAAAATGAGATGATATAGATTTAAAGAAAACAGAAAAATTGTCGAACTAAAGCTAGGACTATTACTAGAAAACTAATAAAGAGAGTCTGTAAATTAGATTAAACGTATAATGCAATAAGCACAGATTAAGACAGAGTTCACTTATATGAGAGAGAGAAAGAGATGTTGGATTACGAAAAATTATCTTCTTTTCCATTCTTGATTAAAATTGTAAACATCATAAAACGTCTGCAGTCTTTGCCTGCTGATATTGACTGTTACATCGTAGTAAAAAGAATTCAATATGTCCCTATTGTTTTTATTAAGAGTTTCGATTTCAAGTACATAGACGTTCGGCAATATCTGCGAGAGTGACAATTTGAAAGGAAGTGAACATTTGTCAAAACAAAAGAATACTGACACACGGTACTGAAAACATTGCAGTCTCGAGTGATAAACAGCATTTACAGTGAACCACTATTTTGTGTCCGTGCAATACCTGTTTTCAAATATTCAGACTAATTTTTAACAGAATATTTTCAATATGAAACCTAATCTAACCTAGCTAAAACCGATAGGTAAGGACGTCAACTAAAATAACTCACTTCTGGTATATTTTCTCCAGCATTTTCAGAGTTTGTTTAGAGGTTTCCTGAGTGCAAAACAAAATTATATCGCTACTCACCGGCTGCTCAGTGAAGTCTAATAACGTCACCTTCTTTCGTTTTTTTTCAAAGAGAACTTCCTGACTTCTGAAACTGATTTCTCTCTAATATACCAATGTAGTACATTACAATTTGGTACTTAAAATTATAAAGCAAAAGTATATTTGTACGTTTCAATTCTATTTCGTTTAAGGATACATAACGCAAACAAAAAATTGATGCATGGATTGATATATATGTTTTCACTGAATTTGATTAGAAATGACATAAATAATAAATCCCTAAAATATAAAGAAATCGTAAGTTTTCTTTGGTACTTAGATACGCGACTTTGTGTCGTTTTCTATGTAATTTTATACAAAATTGTGCGCATATTTTTAACAATGTGACAAAATCGTACAAAATTCTCCCACTTTACATGACAAACATTATACAGATTACCTATTTGAATATAAATCTATGAGAAGTATTGCTGATTTTTGATAAAAGTTTGTTTGTGTTATTTACCCTTAAGTGCCCTTAAGTGCCATTTGTTAGAGATATAACTTTAGACAAAATCAATGGTATTGTTAAAAATTCTAAAAATTACTCAGTTTTGACAGTGCTCCGTAACCCTATTTTTTGCAGTTTTAAATAAGTGGGATATTTATCATCTTATAGTTGAATCCTTTTATTCAAATAATTTGGATTTATTTTTAAAGTATGTCTACCAAATTTGGTTATAATATGACGTTAAATAAAAGTGTTTTGACAAAAGTCTACGAACTTATTGAATGACCCTCGTATATTAGATAATTGTAACATAACCTGCAGCAGTAATCAATCCTAGTATTTCTGGTATAACTACCACTTGGTAGAGTGCCTCCATATGAGTTATCATTTCCAGAATCTTCGTCATCCCAATAAATACTTCCACGTAGGAAACCTACAAATTTGAAAAAAATAGAGTAATTTATTTACTGACAAAATGCAAGACTTGCATAAGCATACTGTTATCAATTATCTAGAAACTTTGCTCATGTTAATGCATTACATGCATTGATCAAAACTGTTGTAAAAAATTTACTAAAATTTATAACCTCTCGGACAGCTGATTCCATGTTTCAGAATGCAGTAGTTCCCAGGTGGCCAAAATCCTTCGTCGTTTATGTCATTTGGATCTTTTGTACAGTAGGAGAACTTCATATTCTTGCCGAAGTAACCTGTATAAAATTCATTTCAAAATTGCAAAAAGCGCTTTTGACCTTAATAGTGTAAGTACGTAAATTTGAACATAACTGAAGTAGAAATGTATTATCAATTCATTTATTAAAACCTACAACATAATAAATTGAAAATACAGGGACAGTAATCTAAACCCTTTAATAGGGAAGAAAGACCTTATTTTAATGAAATATATATCTCTTTAACATTTTCTAGGTCAAAACAGGCCTTTGCACGAAGAGATACGAGAAGTAGAACTTGTACATAATACAATAAAACTGTGTTCTTGATTTGATTTTAACTCTCCGAAAAATAAATGAAAATAATGGAGCGTTCAAGTGCAAAAATGAAGTAACAAGTGGATTTTAAATAAAATACATGTCCGTATTTGATACAAAGTTTGTTTTAAAAGGACAAGGTATGGTAACGGCCAAATAGGCCCCTTATTTGATGTAAAAATCAGAACGCAGTTAAAATTGTGATAGTTCGTAGTTACATGTAATAACTCGAAAAGATGCTTGTTTTAAAACAAGCACTAATTTTGATTCAAAACTTACACAGGGGCCACAAGACGGTGCAGAAGTAGGACATTTTCCCGAATTTCCTCAGTTCTGTTGGAAATTTGTCAAATTTGAGATACATTTCACTTCGAGAAACATAGATCACAAGCTTGCCTATCTGAGATTTTTATACACAAGATGCATCTGATACTAATGTATGAAACATATAAATTTGGTAGATAGGCAAGCTTGTGCTCTATGTTTTCTGAAACAAAATGTGGTGTAAAATCGATGGAAATTCGCGTAAAAATGAGAAAATTCGGAAATTGACATATTTTCTAACCTTTCTGTGACCTCTGTCTATCCCATAATTTAGAACCAATACTCATTTAAAGACAGGGGTGACAACAGGTTTTTATTGATAAACTGTGGCATCATTCTAAGAGCATCCCAAACCAGGGGCCAAAAGGGGGTCTTAGCCTATCTTGTCCTTTGATCAGGGTTAAGAGCTACTTTTGCGTTTTGAAACCATAGTTAGTTTGCTGACAATGTGGTTAATGGTGGTCATTTCTATCAATAATTAAAATTCTGTAATGAATTTCACTGCTGTCACTGCAGTGTCAAAATTACTATAAAGATATCATGCTTAGACCAAGTATTATGTCGATATGACCTAACAATAATATCAATCAAATAAAAGAAGGTGCTTTGAATAATCTTAAATGATTTGATTGAATAAAATATATGTATAAATAAAAATAAGTTATAATAAGTTTATATGCTTATGTTTACTATTTTCTCTTGTTTTATTTAACGTTTTATCAATTACTTATAAAAACTAGCGTATTTTATTAAAATGGCTATTATTTTTAACCTTACCAAAAAAGTGATGTCCTGGTGACACAAAATTCTTATTGCAGCTACCATCCTCATTATCCTGGAGTCGCCATCCATCCAACCAGCCTGGTGGACATCCGGATTTAGGTTTGACCAATGTGTATGTCCCTCTCGGCCATTTTACTGACAACATAAATTATCAAAGTAGATTTAAAAATATCAGAACAGGCAATTTCTAGTCTGTAAGGTTAAATGAAGTATCTTTTCTGAATTGTATTTCATATTTTAGTGGAAAATCTATAAATTCAACTTAGCTGTAACAAACGTAAATGCATAAATTCAAGATAATTGCTTAGAATACTTTATTATTAGTTTCGGTTAGTCCAAAGCATGAAAAGTTCTTCGCACATGATATAATGGTGTTTTAATAAGCATAAACATACATTGTACCTGCTGAAATGTTACAAATGCACCAGAACAGAAAATATTCTTTTATCCCAAAGTAATTCTTCATTTTAATCTTTCACCGTCGAATTTTCAATGAAAAAATCGCCTGTTCCTAAAATAGATGACCACTTACGGGTTGAATTTGATATAAAACTACCAAGGTATCTAACATTGATAAAAATATCTGCATTTAACTGAACTTTATTATATCAGCATAAGAAAAAAACATTTCTAAAGACATTGAATATACATCTACAACAAATTATAATAACAAATTTGCATCAGACAATACATACCTGATATGCATTCAAAATGTACCTAAATAAAATATATATAGATATGCATATACCTAATTATACCCTTGACACTTTCATAGATCCTGAAACAAATCCAAAACATATCAGTTGAATTGAAATGAAAACTTGCAACATATTTAGTAGATACCTTATATAAAAAAATAGAAGCAACGCAGTTAGTAGATACCTGCAATGTTGCATGGATTAGAAATATTTTAACTTTTTTAAACTGCAGTGGAGAATACTGTAGAAAAAGAAGCCCAAGGGTCTTAACAGCCACCTGAGTAGGATACAGCATTGTAAAGGAATAAAATAAAGCAAAAAAAAAAATAATAATAATAATAATAATAATAAAAATTGATAGATGATCAAAGCAATATTGCCCAAAATCGGAATTGAATACTCGGAAGTCTTTGGGTTTTTTTTTATATATATATTTATAACCCCAACCGGAAGCTTTTGTATCCTATTTAAGGTCTTATTATGAATCAAGGTAATTTTTTAAGGAAAAAATGAGTTGTTTACAATAAAGAGGCTCGGCCAGAGACATCTGAAAAGATTATTTTGACAAGAAAAAAAGTCTTTCGAAGCGAACGATGTCATTTTATAGTAGGTTAATGATTGATGTATGAACAAAATTCGAGCTTGAAGCGGGGTGCCTGAAATTGAGTTAGGTACCTTGTGGTAAAAATAAGTTGAGGGTGCCCCGTATGCGAAACAAGTGCCTGTGGTCAACACTCGTTGTATAAGATTCTTGGACAAGTTATAAGCGTTGAAAATTTGATATTAAAATCGTAATTTTGTAATTATTGATAAAGATGATAATTTAACATTTCCTTTAAATATATCACTCCTCAAAATTATTTATTTTCATAGGTTTATGGAAATTTTTCGCGGAGTAGATATTATTTTTTTTTTATTATAAATCCTTTAAGGGGTAAAAGGTTAATATAAATCCTGTTTACCGATAAGAAATTTAATTAGAAACGATAATTAATACAATTTTTCATCTTTAGCGAATTTTCCAAGAATCTTGTATAACAAGTGTTGATGGAGGGTGTATGTGGGAGCGTAGCTGGAACGACAACTCTGGATAGTGAATGTCCATCTTGTGTGTCATCCATTTTGGTTTTCACTATATAAATCAAAGTTCCAAAGTTTGTACTATAGTTATTCAAAGTTTGAAAGTTTTCACTTTCATATCAAAGTTTTCACAATAGTTTATCAAGTTATTAAAGTATTTCAATAATTTTTTGCTTATTTTGCCGCTTTTATGGGGTGGATGTGGGATTGGGTGGGGGCTGGGTGTTTGTTGTACATGTTAATTTAAATCTATAAATTAGTTAATTCGAATGCAATATTTACATTTATAAATTAAAAAATACATGTTTACCAAAGTTGATGGAGCAAGTATTTTGGTTATAAATGACGCAAATTTTATTTTATAGTCTATTACCCCCCCCCCCCCCCCCCCAAAAAAAAAATTACACTACATCTGCATTAAATTAAATACATTTAAGGAAACACCTAGTGTATCCAAATGCCAGAATTTAATATGCATGTAATTCTTTCATAATCAAAGATAAAATAATAAAAGTATATAACATTTAAAAGCTTGTTAAATTTACTATTTAATTATCCTAATTTAAACTTTAATTAATTACTTATTTAAAAATTATTTAAATATTAATGTAAGTTTTAGTGCATAGAAATTTTATAAATTAACTTTTTTGTATTTAACCCCGCAAAATGGTAATTTTGCCTCAAGGTAGATTTAAGATTGAACTTAAAAACTGTATCTCAGATTTTTGATAAATCTTCTAATTCAAAAGTTACAGTCATTTGTCCTTCAATGTTAACAATTTATTAGCCTAATTTAACATTTTCATCAGTAATTCCAAAACTAAGCTAGAAATAAAAAATAATTAGAAACGATAATTAACACAGTTAACAATCTGAGATACGGTTTTGTGAACACACATTTGAGAAGCAACCCATCCAATTTTCAGAGAAATTGGTCAATAAATAAGGAAGATGAATCCTTTGAAATAATACCACAAACTGTCTGATCTTACTTACAGTAGAGGGCAAAAACCCATTACACAACAAAATCTGCCAAAGCTAAGAATATATGACACCTTGGAGATTCAGCTTCGGATACCTGTCACCTAGCCATATTTTCGAAGCATATTCACAAAAATGGGAGGTTCTTTTCTGTATTTAGATGCTTTTAATTAAGTAAAATATGTTCAATTCTGAATCGAAAAGATTTCCCGGCAAAATGGCAAGAGCTAAGCTCCACCTCCTATTTTATGGTCATCAGTGATCTGTTAGATCTCCTTCTCTAAATCTAGAGTCCCTGTAGTTTAATTACTGATAAACTCTGTGTGGCTAGTGAAGAATTCCCCAAGTGGTCACAGTGATTTATTGCGTCTTTCATGAGCAGGCAGTCACAGATCAAATCAGAAGCTTCAATAACGGAACATTCGCATGTGGTAGTGTTTATGTTTCATTATTGTTAAATAATTAGAAAACCATTTCATAATTACCAAAAATTTTACCTTCATGATAAAGCAGTGATTAATTTCTTTTTCTTAGCCAAAAATCTCAAAATTGGTGAAAATCTTGAAAAAGGCCGTTGATGTTTCCTTAAATAAATATTGCTCATCTATCGGCGCGAGAGACAACCTTACATTAAATTTCATTCGTAAACATTAATTTTTTTGAGGGGTCTGGTTTATAAAAAGTTCTCTGAAGCTTTTATGAATTTTGAACACGAAATATCATAAAATGTGAAGAATGGGATAAAAACATAATTCCAAGGGTTTTACAATAATAAATAAAAGTATAAAAGTTTTTGATATAGTAAATCAAAGTTTCAAAGTTTTTACTATAGTTAATCAAAGTTCAAAAGATTTTACCATTATAGTCAATCAAAGTTCCAAAGTTTTTACTTTAGTAAATCAAAGTTCCAAAGTTTTCACTATAGTAAATAAAAGTTCCAAAGTATTTACTATAGTAAATCAAAGTTCCAAAGTGTTTACTATAGTAAGTCATAGCTCCAAATTTTTTACTTTGATACTATAGTTAACTATAGTGAACTATAATTTACTATAGTTTACTATAGTATTTTTTCTTAGGGTTGTGAAAAAAAAGATCGCGTGGAACAATAGTAATAAAACTGAGATTTTTTTTCAACTTACTTAATTTTATTTAATGGCCTCATCTCAAAATGTTGTATCCACACGGAATCAACTTATCGATAGTAATATGACGTGCACTACAGAATAATTTAACTTGTGATTTCAAACTTGAATGTTGAATAAAAATTATAGCGCAATTGATTGTTCGTGGTTCAATCTCTTTGGTGGCTCACTACGTTAAAGAAATGTCAGAAGAGTCCAACATTGGTAGATTAAGGTTGAGACGTATTGTGAGCTTTTCATAAGCTTGTGGTATTAAAGCCTAATTGTTCCGGTTGTGTGTCATCAATTCGTACAAAAATTTACTGTTGAACACTAGATTGAGACAGGTGTGTGGCTGAACAGATTGACAGATCTAATAGTTCCTGTTACATTCGATCAACAGGACCAGGATGTGAACATTAATTTTGTTTTTGAAATCTAACCCTATTACGCAGTACTGCCCCTGCTTGTTCTTTATGCACTTTTCTGCCTTTGGAGACATCAAATTTCCAGAACCTTTAAAAATGTTCATAAATTAAAATAAAATTCTATTTAATGTACAATATTCTATTTAATGACGGATTTTTCCGTTATTTCCCGATCATAACAAGAAGCACACGGCGGGTGTGACCGGTCGGCAGGGGATGCTCCCTCCTCCATGGCACCTGATCCCACATCTGATGTTTTGGAGGTCTGTGTTTGCTCTGCTCCTATTTTGCATTGTTTAATGAACTTTTGAGCTTGAATACTGTTCGTTATCTCCATATATTTCATGTACAATATTTCCTACTTTGATTATCTAGAAATGCTCCATTAACTCCTCCTTTGAAATGAATAGTATACAATAACAATTAAAAATCATATATTAGCGAAATAAAAGTCTGAAAAACTACATTGTACTTTTCCTATTTCCAAATTTACAAGTTGCAATAAAAAATTCAAATATCGATTTTTGGATTTATTGATCGAGTACTGAGTAACTTTTGCAGGAATTTTTTTTTTTGGTTATTTTCGTTATATGAAGCGATACACGAATCCATGCTCACCAACTACATTTTAAAATCTTAAAGCAATACAACTTTTCCAATAGCAAAGTTTTACAAAAGTATACAATATCATCATCCTATTTTTCTTTAATACAATGTTTTTCACCTTCAAAAGACCATCTTCTTTTTTATTATTAAAACTATAAAAGTATTTGAAGCGAAGCATAAGTATGGAAGCATAGCTATACAGTGAAAATAAATCTTTTTATTTGACAATACAGCTGAACTTCGCTATCTCAAATACGGATATTTCAAACATCGTGAAAATGTTGAAGTGATTTGAAAGTCTTATGCTCTTATTTCATTATGTACTACTATTTTAATTTACCCTCAATATCTCGAACCCTCAGATATGTAAAGTTTTTTTTTAGTTCTTCATCAAGTTTGAGATATTGAAGTTTGACAGTAGTTTACTCATACCACCCAAGATTACATCATCTTCCTGATATAGTTACCAGAGGAGGTCTCACAATAGATTGTTATTGGAGAACAGAACACATCTTTTTGTATGGTTCGGGTATTGTTAAGAACTTTCACAAGTAAATGTATACAACAATGAATATTAA